CTTAAAATGTAGGTCTGACATGAGGCCTTGAGATCCATATTTTTACATACTTACAATGATTCTGATCATCTGCCATACTAGTTACAAAAGGATTAAAAGAAGGGGAGGTCTGAGTCAGTTATGAAAAGCTATTTGGAGGTTGGATTTAATCAACAGAATTTTAAAGGAGAAATACTAAAGAGATGACCATATCTGGGGGAGTGTCCATGATAGCAAACAAGTTGGCCAAGGACACAGGATGTTAAGGGAGAGGGGGAGACAATCAAGGGGGAATAATTAGAAAGGAACACTATTGGTGAGCAGTTTATAAACCTGGCAGAGGGGCCCAATCCCAAGGGTTGGTGGTTAAAGGAGCCAGATCCCACATGGCTGATGAAGTGGTCCAAATCTCAGCCTTGGCAGCTTGAGAAGCATACTAATCGTGTGTGTGTGTGTGTGTGTGTGTGTGTGTGTGCCAAAAATTGCCACAGGATGGAGAAATGGAAGGGCTTGTGGCATGTTTTCTCCCTCTCCCTTTTTCTCTCTCTTTCTCTCTGGCAAGCACATGTGCCATGGGGGCATATAGTCTCCATCATAATAACAAGTACACACAGAAGTTCATGGGCCACAAGCAACATGATAAAAGTGGTAGAGGACAAACCTAACATCAGGCAACCATTTGGACCAAGAATGGCAACTATGTGGCTGCTGACATAGAAACACAAGCTGGCATGTCCCTAAGAAAGGGGGAAAAAATGAAGGGAAAGCTATCTGAGTCACCAGAATGCAAACTCCAAGAAGGATGCAAACTCCAAGAGGAGGGAGCAGCAGGTGACGTGGTGGTTAAGATGCTGGACTCCCACATGGCTCACAGTGGTTCAAGTCCCGGAACTGGCAGCTTGCTTTCTCACTTCCCCTCTCTCTGTCTCTCTGGTGAATTAAATAATAAAAATTATTATTATAAACACAAATGAAATAAGAAATGCTTCAAAAACATTTTTTTAAAAAAGGAAGGTGAGAGGACCTGCCTGTTGCACTCACTACTTTATTCCACCTACTACATGCCGAATCAATGTGGAATAAGTGCAAAGGTGGATTTAGAGGCAGATTAGACGTGGAAGTCAACAAAGATGAATAATTCAAGGATTTCTTTAAGATTCAAATCCATAGGACTCAAATTAAAATGACAGTACTGGTTGACTAAAGTTAAGTAAGAGTAGCTTGCTTTCAGCAAAGGCTCTTCTCCATTACTTCTGGCTTCTCTCTAAGACATTATTTTGGTTTCCAGTCCATGAGAGAAATAGGGGATGTTGAGATATTGGAATGTAATGTTGACTGGCATGAATGGTGGGTCTTCTACCTTAGGAAGAAGAAACTGATGGGGGGACCAGCAGTTAGCGTAATGGCTATGTCACTGGACTCCCACATAGTCGACCGCGGTTGGTGTCCCGGACCCGGTGGCTTAAATTCACGCTGGGCGCGTGTGCGTGCGTGCCCAAGATCCTGAGAGGAGAATGGAAGAGAAGGGATTGTCGCGTAGCCATCCCCCTGGGGGGTGATTTCTCGCTTTCTGTCTCTCTGTCTCTCTCTCTGTCTGTCTGGCGAGCGAGCACACGCGCCCTATAGCAAAAACCTCTCCAAAAAAAAAAAAAAAACCTGATGGGCAAGATCTTCTGTCTTCCTTTAGCAATGAAAGAAGGACAATCTAGGAAGACTCTTCGCTGGCATTCCTCCCAGGACCTACTAGATTACTACCACTAAACATGCCAGTAGCTCGGTGGCTTGACTGGACTTTCTAAAAAAAATACCCTGCCACCTCTATCTGGACTAGTTAGGTCTCTGAGGGCCTCTGAAGACTTGAAAAGCAGTTCCACTCATGGGAAAAACTAGCTAATCTTTTGAAATCTTCCCAAACTAATGATTATCCAAAGCACCATCTGAGTGATCATGTTAAACAGTTTCCTGCAAGCTGCCCTTCAAACGGTGGGCACTATCAGAACTAGATACACCAGGCCCCAAAAACAGGAGTAGAGGGGAAAATTCGAATTCTTTCTTGGACATCCATCTTCTGAAAGCCTGATCTTCTAAGATCTTTCCTTCTTAAATGACCTCTACTACTGCTGCAAGTCCTTAACAAAAGTAATTTGTTTCATGATTAGAACGGCCACAATATTTTTTTAAGGAGAACTGCAAAAGGCTATATGCTTTCGGTTATCTTTTCCTTCCTAAGGCACATTTTCCAGAGCCTGCTTTTCATAATCCACTGCGAGGTAATGCATGCGTCCAAATGACTTGACAGTTTCTTTTAATTTACAGACATCTAAGCATGTTTATAAAATTCCACTAGTTTGAAATGCTTCCTTTTCTTAAACATATTTCCAGCTCAAATGATGTGTTTATAGCAGTCTGCAGTATATTATTTCTAAAGATAAACAGTCATGTAAAAAAATGGAAAGAAAAACAGCAGCATATCACTACTGCCACACTCAGTCGGTCTTTCCCCTCGCCGGGTGTTCCTGCAGTGAAAGTCCTAACCTGCCAGTGGAAAGTATGAATGGATCACTTGGAACAGGCTTTCCCTGCTGCCTCTAGAATTCATAAAGGGAAGGGCTACTAGTTCCGTTTCACAGCTTTGAGCTTTAGTTCCTGAGCACTTGTGTCCCCCCACCCCACCCCCCCAAGTATAAAACTCAGGAATTCACAGACATTCTTCCTTTTAAAGACAGGCTTCAAGCTCAGATAATCACGACTACTAAATGATCAGAAAACAGCTGTGATTTTCAGCTTAAAATGTGGAGTACTGAAAATAATGTTCTCTAACAGCGAAATTTTTAAAAATTAAGGCTTTCCGCTTTGCATTTGTGCTGCTATACAGATAGAGTCTGAAAAGTAATTTAAATGGACATGAGCCATTCTGGGCCTTGACATGACTTCCACTGAAAAAGACTGACTCACCGTCTAACAAAGACTCTCTGTAAGAGTCTCCAAGTTGAAATTTAAAAAAATATCTAATCACCCTTTTGGATGATATTCCAACTACTTAAAACTATCTATCACAATAAAGCAATTCACTTGGAAAGAATCTAACTCTGCTTTGAAATGAGAAATATTAGAATCCCAAAGATACAGATTTCAGGGTAAAGTTGTCACAGGGAAGACAGGTATAGTCCAGCCAAAAAACTTTTTTAAGGAGTCTGGTAGGATTTATGCAAAAGCCCAGAGAAGTAGATGACAGAAACACGATTTCTCTGGAATCCTAAAACCCACATACCTCCTAGCAAACCTCAGAACAGCACACAAGAGAAAAATAACAATAAAAAGATCCTTTTTTTTTTTAACCTTGTTCAGCTTTTCCGGCAAACTCTTGAAAATCACTAGATGAAAATTGTCCCTTTGCCCTATTTCCCAACAAAATGAGCAATTATACTTTTTCTAAAATAAACAGACAATTTCCCTTTTTGTGTACAGTGAGCCAAAGTTTTTAACTGCCTGGGAGATTACTAATCTCAACGGATTAAGCGTCCTTTGTGAAAGAGAAATACTGATAAAGATCGAATTCCTATTTTGTAGCCTGAGCACCCAAAATACTCATCTGTACAGTTCCCAACTCTACGTGTTAACCGACCTCAAGTAAACGTACGTAAGGGGACCTGCCAGCTCACAGAGGCTCCCACACTAATGAAGAAAGCCCACCCGCTGCTTGGATGCCAAAGACGTTTCCCAAACCTGAACTGTTTCCGTATTAAAAAAAAAAAAAACGGACGAGGTACTCACAAATCCACCTAAAGATGATTATATAATTTGTCTTAAAAGAGACAGTTCAGTTCATCGGAAATGAACAAGTTATTAGATGGCAGAGGGACATGGAGTGCTGGAAGGGACAGAAACAGCCTCACTCCCTGACCGAGATCCCAAAGGCACAGGGGCGGCAGATGGAATCCGGGTGTTTGGGCTTCCACCTGGCAGAACAGAGGTCCTGGCGCCCAGGTACCGGCAGCCTCCAACGAGGAGGCCCAGGAGGCAGTTCCCTTTAGAGGGCGCTCTTTGGGCAACGTAGGGTTACAAGCGCCAGCCTTAGAAACACGACCCAAAGGAGAAGCCAAGTTCCCACTCCCGGGGCGGAGGAGAGAAGCAGAGAGTGCCGGCAGCCAGCCCAGATAGGTAGAGACGCGTGCAGGTCAGAGATGCGCCAGCCCAGAGCAATCGTGACCCGGAGGAAGTCTCCGTCCCGGAGCCGCCAGGCGACCCAAGCCGAGCGCAGTGTCACACGCACCCCGCCTCTCCCCACTTGCCGCACTCCAGTGCAACCCGTATTAAAACGTCCTAGTGCCCCTGAGGGGTCAACAAGAAAGGGTCGTCAGAGGCCTGGGATGCCAGCGGCCTGCGCCTCAGCATTTCAGGCGCGTTGCGCGCACCCTGCAGACGGCGTTTCCACGTAGGGTCGGTTACCTCATCCCAGCCACAGGACCATCAAACAAAAGAACTTTTGCAAACTTTCCTCTCAGACCACTCGCGGGTTTCTTAAATCTGCGCCCCATCTCACCAGAACTAGCAGTCAAACAGGGGAGTTGAAGGGAGGGATGGTGTATGGAAGAAGGGACTCCAAAGTTTCCACGTCTTCGCTAGGACTCGCGGAGCGCCAGGAGCCGACCGGTTCCTTGGCGGGCCCTACCCGGGCTCTCGGCTCTCACCTCCCACTGCCCTTTCCCCTGCGTCTCCCCGGATTATACAGCAAGACTCCCGAAGGCGAAGAACTTTGGAGTGACTTTAGGGGCCTCTGCGGTTAGACACTGCAATTCTGCCCTCATCTCCGGGAACCTCAGGCAACTCCAGCGAGCAACGTTTTCCTGAGGCAAGGGGCGTAAGAGGTAAAGGAGCAAGACCATTTGTCCCAACAAATCCCTGGGGGCCGAAAGTGAGGGGGTGGTATCCCCCCGGTGGGGCTCCCCAATTCTCTGCGGGCTCCTCTGCCAGCTCGGAGCACCCTAAACAGCGCGCGTGTACCCGCGTGGCCCACTCACCGACTCCGCTGACACACAGGCCACCAAGCCCAAGGTAAGCAGGATCCAGGCGCGCCGCATATTCCCCGGGGACCGGCTGCTCCCAGCCACCGCTTGCAACCGGGGTGAAACGAAGTCGCCTACTCAGCGCTCGGCGCAGCCCGCGCAGAGGGATCTAGAGCGCCGCAGCCGCAGCGACCTCCGCTCGGGTTCCGAGCTCCGGCTCCGGCTTCTGGGGCGCTCGCTTCCTGCTCCTGAGCCTGCTCCCGCCGCTCGCGGCTGCGCTCGGGGCTCGCGGCGCCTTCTCACTTGTTGGTTTCTGCACTCCTGACACGGAGTTAGTGCTCCGGGAAGGCTGCTCTCTGGAGCTCTTCTCGCTTGGCTGTGCTTTTACTCCTCCGCGGAATCCTTCCCGTGGCGCGGTTCCGTTTCTGATTTTACGGAAGGAATTCGATGGCTTGAAATGGAGCTGCAGCTGAAGTTTGGGGGCAGAGCGACGGGGGCGCGCGATCAGCGAGGCTGAAGCTCCCGGAGTATCTGGAGAGAAGCGCGTCGGAGCAAGCCGGGCTAGTGGCTACGCGGCTGCGCCCCTCCTCCTCCCGCGCCGCCACCTCCCACCCTGGGTCCTCCTCCTCCTCCCCTTTCTCCCGCTCTCTCCCTCCCTCCTTCCCGAGCCTGCTTCTCCGGGTTCCTTCGGGCGACTGGGGAAGAGGAGGCGGCAGTGTGACTCCCAGATAAACCCGGGAGAAATTCCTACAGGATTACACCCCGATTGGCAGCTCTCGGGACCAGTGGGCGCCCGCAGCTCCGCGCTGTGGCTGCTCTGGGTCTACTCGTCCGCAAACCAGTGCTCCTTCATTTTCTCGTTCCCGTTTTCCTCCCTTTCCTCTCTGCCCCACGCTCTTTTCTTCCCTATTTTCTTTAACCTTTTGCTTTTCCTTCGCTTTCACTTTTCTGGCGAAAGATCAGTGAAGAAACAAGAGACATAGTTAGTTTATCTGCCTTTGAGAATTAGACCCGCAGAAAGAAACCTCTTTGAGAGTTGAAGAAAAAAAAGAAAGTTTATAGATCCCTTAAAGCACTGTGAAGTATTCATAAATCACCAGTTCAAGCAAATTGCATGTAAAGCGAAGACAATAAACGTGATAAGTAGGTATTGAGAGTGTTTCCCACTTTTCCGATCCTCCTCCTCCTCTCCCTCCCAAAAAAGGAAGTGGAGGAAGGAACCTATAAACCCAAAATGCAGCATAATTTCATTAGGGCTTAAATACCATTTCTACTCCACACAGTTTATGCCCCTCAGGCATTTTGTAGGCTCCATTTCAGCAAAGATGTGTTAAGGTTTGGAAGCTACAAATAGGGCAATTTGAAGAGAAATTGGATGGAGACCTTGAATAATAACAGATTTGAGGGAATTCCAAAGAGTGATAAAGTAATTTCTAGTTTGAAAAAAAAAAAAAAGAACATGTATTTCCTGAATGAAAGTAACTGATCTGAAATATTTTGTTCTAAAGGGTTTTTTCTTTCAATTGAAGGTCTGTGGTGTACTGCAGAACATAGCAAATGCACATTCTCTCAGTTTCCATCACCATTTTTTCTCTCTGATTTATAGTAAATCCATACAAAAGTAAATGAATAAGGGAGCCATTTTGCTCCAAGAATGCCCATTCCTGGAAACCAGAGACATTTCTGTCTTGTTCATCACTATATTCTCAATCCTGGTGCATAAGGACACACAGTTTAAATATATATATATATATATATATATATACACACACACACACACACACACACACATATGTATATACATATGTGTGTATATATATGTATATATGTATATATATGAAATTTTTCTCTACAGTTCAATCTACACTGCATGAGGTTGTGAGCCTTTAAGATATAGATCCATAGTTACACTATTGACCTCACTATTAGAATAAAATACCGTTATACCCTATGTGAAACTCACAATATCTTAGTAACTTGCCACTGTAACAAATCTCAAAGAAAGAAATTTAACTGGGGAGATATCCAGCTCTTTGGTTTTGTGTGCCAACTATTTACAATTGCCTATGGGCAAATCTAAGCCAGTGGCCATTAAAGAAGTAATATGGAGAAACAAAAGTGAGCACAGAAAGAACAGAAGGAAAGAGTAAGAGCTAGAAGTTGTAACACAGGGTGCTTCTGATTCCACAAACATTGAGGTGGCACCTGTGCCAATGTGGGTCTGACTTGGGTTTTGGAAAAATAAACGACTACCATAATTTTGAGTGGATCCTTGGGTTAAAGAATGTCATGAGATGGGGAAGCTTCTGAAATAAGGTTCCAAGGAAAACAAGCAATGTAGGAGGACTGTGGCGAGCATAAACTAATCTCCTCTATCCCCCTGCCAAAGGACCCAGTCCACTCTCCAGCCTTCACAAGGCCACTTCCCCCACAGTCCCCCAAAAGTTAAGAATCCATCAAATAGACCTGCTGGGTGACACAGAAGTACCATACTCTGTGATGCTGGCCAAAGCCACGTGAGAAAGTCTTGGAACTCAAACCCAAGGTCTTCCTGTACACTTGGGGCACTCATGCTTGTGTGTCCAGGGATTTTCACTGGTTGAACTTGGCAGTGGATTGGCCTGTGATAACCCTGTTGGGAGTACCTGTCTCTCTCTCTCTCTCTTTGTCTGTTTCTGTCTCTCTCTCATGGAAAAAAATAAAAAGAATTTATCAAGTAAGCTAGAATCCCAATAATGTGGCGAAGTGCACTCAATCCATTTGCTGCTTTCACAGTCTGCTGCTTACTGGAGCATCCAACTAACAGAAAGCATGACCATGGCGCTCTGATTGGGCTTGGATGGACCATGATAAAAATGAATAAACAGGAGCCAGTAGGTGGAAATATGTTTAATGATAACCACCCTCCCACATGGCCAACCACAGTTCGAGTCCTGGACTTGGTGGCTTGCTTTCTTGCTTTCCTTCTCTCTCTCTCTCTTTCTCTCTCTCTCTGCGTGTGTGTCTGATCAAATTAAAAAATAAATGAATGAATAAAGTTAAATAAATAATTATTTTAAAAATGAATAAACAGATACATCTGTTGAAGGCATGTATCTGTCCACGCACCTGAAGGTTCTTGGTGTTCATGAGACTCTCGGTGACTTTTTTTTAAGACAGGGTCATATGATCTCCTGATCCTCCTGCCTCAGCCTCCCAGCTGGGACTGGGACTAAAGGAGCACCACCACCCTCAGCTCTTTCAGACAGGATCTTACTATGTTGCTGAGCTCTGGATCCTCTTGTCAGCTCCCAAATCTCTGGGATTACAGGCACAGGATACAGTGTTTGGCCTTTAGGTTGGACCAGGCATCAAACCTGGGCCTCCCATGCAGCCCCAGCCTGCAGAACACAGCATCTTAGCAGTGCACACTGTTGTAGCCAGGGCAGTGACCTGTTTTATTTAGGGATGATAATGCAACATTGAAAGTAAGTGTAACAAAGAAATTGGTACCACTGTAAGAGTCATGCAATGTCAAATATATAAGAACAAACAAATATTCAAGTATTCAATAAACAAATATTTGAGGTCTTATGTTCCAATATGTTAACAGATGTGGCAAGAAGGATAATCTGGCAGTATAAAAAGCTCTTACTTAGACCAGGAGGTAGCATGGTAGATCCCACATGGCCAACTGTGGTTTGAGTCCTGGACCCCAGTGGTTTGAAAAAATTACCAGGTATGTGTGTGCCCAAAATCCCAAGAGGGGAATGAAGAGAATGGAGAAGGGACTGTGGTATGACCATCCCTCCTAGGGGGTGATTTCTCATTTTCTCTCATCTCCACCTCTGTCTCTCTCCCTTGAACACACATGCCCTATGGCCAAAAAAAAAAAAAAAAAAAAAAAAGGCACTTACTCAAGAGCTGGCTCCTACTAGGTCACCTGTGCTGAATGGGGATGGCAACAGCGGACAGGGCATGGTTTTAGAAAGGAACATGTCTATATTTAGAAATGATGAAGACCCATTTGTGTGTTTTGCTATTTGGAATTTAAAGAAAACTAAGTGAGACTAAAATTTGGTACAGTTTTGTGGGCTATATCTAATATGTTAAGTATAGCTCGTAACTATTGATAAAATCAAAGGTTTTTTGCTAATGCGTTTTCAGGTCTTCCAGTTTGAGGACTGAACTTTGAGGGTCACAGAAAATAAAATAGCTTAACTGAATAATGTCACCGATTGCTAAAAGAATCAAGATCTCAGAAGAAAATATTGAAAAAGAACTAGATTATGGAGACTAGGATGTATAGGAAGGAAAACACAGAAGTGAGAGCTATTGAAGATAGTTTTTAACCTAAGCTGACATTGGTCTCTGCCATAGTGGTGGCTAATGACAGCACTTTATAACCATGGGCCAGCAGGTGCTTGTCCCAAGGAGAACTGACAGGGTAGGGGAAACCAGAAACAGAAAAAAAAATGCTACTCTGTTTTTCTGCTAGCTACTCCATGGAATATTACCAGGGGTTTAGGCTAGAAATGAGTTTGGTAGGATCAACCCTGACTGAATTCAATTGAAAGATGACAGAACCTGAGCATAAGAGGAAATCTAGCCAGTCAACTATTAATTAACAATTACTAATAATGGCAAGGGAACTGAGCCCATGACAAAAATTTACAGGCAATCAAAAGAAATATCTATTTTTAGCTTGAAACTTTCCACTGTTCTCTCCATTCACCTCCATCAACCTTTTACCAAGGAAGTTGGCTGATTTGAGTTTTATAAAGTGATGCAGCACTAATGTTGAGTGAAACTGTCACATTTTGGACAAAGGAAAGTCAAGGAACTGCATAATACATAAAGTATCCCCTGACTAAGACAGGGGACAAAATGGTCCTGTCAGTTTCCCTAATAGCATGGTGTGGTTTTTTAGAAACTGGCCAAACTTGACATTCATTCAGTCAACAAACATATATGGGTCATCTGCCACACACCATGTAGTCACAGGATAGACGTGTGACTTTTCTTGAAACATATTAGAGTTGACACATGTTAAAACTAAGAATTGTTGTGATGGCATAGTGGTTATGTTATTGGACTCCCACATGGCCGACCATGGTTTGAATCTTGGACCCGGTAGCTTGAAACTCATGCCAGGTGCGTGTGCATACATGTCCAAAATCCCAAGAAGAGGATAGAGGAGAAAGAGATTGTGGTATGGTCATCCTCCTGGGTGATGATTTCACGCTTTCTGTCTCTCTGTTTCTCTCTGGCTCTCTGGTGGGTGCATGTACCGTATAACAAAAATCTCTCAAAAAACAAAAACAAAACAAAACAAAAAACTAAGGATTGTCCTAAAGACATAAATCTGTGACTAAGGTACATGACAAATTTCATCTTATAATTGGATATGATATTTTAAAGAGACACATTGCAAGTTATTCTTCAGCATGATTTTCTAAGAGCCATACTTGGATATATGAATTTAGCAAAGTACAGTGGTTTTTTTTCAACATAGTTGAATTATGAGTACATATACTCAGTTGGACAGGAAATGCTAATCTTGGACGTTTTTATATGAAATGATACTTTTTTCACTGACATGTATGCATATATTGTGAATGACTACATCAATCTAATTAACATATGCATTCTTTCAAGAACTATTTTTTATTTTTGATG